ACCAATACATTGGACACAGGCCAAAAGCATACCAAAGGTAACTAAAGCGATGATTGATGATTGCATGATTGAAGATTGTAAAATAGATAGAATAATGTGTATATGATAATATTAGTGAATAAATTTATTCGTTTATATAGATCGTTGACTAACAACGACACTAGAATACATAAAGAAAGATATAATCAGATGATATCTATTATGACAAAGAAAGTGATCATACGAAACAATAAAAACAAAGAGAAGATATATGATGTTCTCTTAATGTACTCCTATCGATTAGACGAGATTGGTTCATGAATAGGCTGATAAATTTATCGAGGTAAAAGTTAGACAGTAAACATTACTTTTTCTTTCTTCTGTTATAAGAAAGGGAAGATGTGTACAATCGAATCAACTTAGAAATCTTATATTACATTTTAAAAATGATATAAGAATATAGAAGCATTTCTTGTATTTCTAATACACTGTTTATTTATTTTATTTCTATTGTCAAATTCCTTTTCAATAATTTTCAGTTTGCATTCTCTTGTTTTATTGTTTAGTCATTGATTTGTTCACAATTATGATAAAGTATCTGTAAATCATCATATAAGTCTCTAAATAGATTTATTAACATTCATATTGATCGATGTATATATAGTAAAATATATTATAAATACCCTTAGGCAGAAAGCTTTTTTTATCTCTTGATAATGTACATTTTATAAGTCTAAGCGATAATAAAACCTTGATATAATTACAATATGACAAGTTGAAAGAAAAAATATGGTAAAGTGAAGAGACTTTTACCTAAGGATATATGTATTTGATATATATCATTTAGTGTGCCATTGTTTATTAAGACTATGTAACATCGATGAATAATAGATAGGGTAGCATTTTTTTGTGTAACAAATAATGGATTTATTTTTTTAATCGGATTATAAAATATGTCTTTGTTAAGAAAAGGTTAATCTAGATTTAATATTAAATGATATTTATTTTTGATGATGAAAAAATCGCAAAACAAAGAGATAAGTAAAGATATTCAAATTTTTCTGTTTATTGATTGTTTTTTCTTTCTATTTCATTACAGAAAGTTATTATTTTTACTATAATAAAAGTTTAACTAGTACATTCATTTTAATATGAAAGTGAATCTTTAAATCATATCCTGTCATATCATGTGTTAATTAGACGGAAACATTCTAGTCGGAAACCATTACCTATAAATTTTTTGTGACGCACAATACATCCATAGAATCTTTAAATTGTATCTTAATTAATTATCCGACGTCATATAGAAGATAAATATCAAATAGACATAAAATATTACATTTGATTGCATTTTCAATTAGCTATATATTTTGTCAGGAATGTAAAAAAAAAGTTTTTTTTCTAATTTGATTCGGATGAATATTTATAGGTGTCAAAAGAAAAAAAATATGACAACAACAATGAAATTTGTATGTGTGTGTGAGAAAAGTTAAGTACAAACAACCGTAAAGATATAACGACTACATTTTGTGAATTGAACACAATATAAAGACAAAGGAAGACTAGCCGTCCTCAATGGATTTGTTCGTTGACTATTTACGAGCTTTTTTATTATTTGGATTGCCCGGTAGCATAGTTGGCATTGTTGAAATATGTTCTGTTGAAGATCGTTGTCGACTTGGTTCAGTATAAAATGTTGTTGTAGATGGTGTTAAATATTGAACGGCTGAAACAGATGAATCACTTAATGTTTTTCCTCGCTGCGATGTGGGTTCTTGTAAATTTGCCATTTTACCAGAACTACCTGCTAGAAATTGATTTATTTGTTCTAAATCATGAGCTTTCTTTGCATATAACTTTGATCGTGATGATTTAGTTATATGGTCATCGAATTCGGTGTCTTGTATTATTGGTTCATCGAATGTCTAATAAAATAAAACAAATATATTGAAAGATAAAAAATGAAAAATATTTACATCAATGAAATTCGTTTCAGAAGATTTGTTTGATTCATTGATTCTTTCTTGTAATGCTTGTTGTTGTTTTATATAATCCATCATAGCTAAATAAGCAAATAAATATTGATCTTCTGTTTGAACGCTACCAGCACGTTCTGTTCTCATCTTATGTACTGTTGAAGGTATATCAATAATCTTCTTTTCTAAATATCTTTTAATTCCAATATCAATTGCACAAAATGTTCCTGTACGTCCAATACCAGCTGAACAATGAAGAAGAATAGGTGCTTTTGTCATTGTTAATTGTCGATAATATTCAACTTTATCAAGAAATAATAAAGCATCCTTTGTATTTGATGGTATACCATGATCAGGCCATTTAAGATAATGTGCATGATAAATAGTTCGATTTTCTGAATTATTTTTTTTTCTTAATGATAATGTTGTTACTACAAAACTATCGAATTTTTCTGATTTTTCATTTTGTATTTGATATAAACCAGCATTAAGAACTTCTTTAGAATCCATTGGCCAATATGGAAAACATTTCATAGTACCTGTTTCACGTATATTTGTTGTCATGACAATAATAACAATATTTTCTTGCCATATCATACGCCAAAAATCTTTAACTGTGGTTGGAAGTGGTCCTACAAAAATAAAAATTTGTGAATATTTAAAATAAATAAAATCTAGATTTTATTTATACCTTGAGTAAATATATAAGCTTTTTCCTGATTATTATGTCCACTAACATAATTAGCATTAATAAAATCATGTTTATCATCTCCATCTGGTTGAAGTTTCACACGAGTTGCTTCACCCGGTATAACATCTCGATAACGTGATTTATCAAGATTTCGTTCCTCTCTATTTTAAATGAAGAAAAATATTCTGTATATCAAAAAATAATTTTTTTTTCGTTACCTTGCTGCATGTGTATCTTTAGCTGGTGGATTTGGCATTTTACGAAATTCTTGTCTAATTTCTGATTGTGTTTTATTTAGAAATTCTGTTGGAGTTAATGATTTATATAAACTATTTGTTGTTGTTGTTGTTGTTGTTGTTTTTTTATTATCACGTTTAGTAATAACATGTTCACGATTATCATTTTCATTCATAGTATTTTTTGTTTCATATTCACTTCGTTCTTGATGACCAGTTATTGAGCGAAAAGAATTGTCATTGATTAGTGTTGTCGCTTGGGATTGACTAGAAAATAAGAAAGAAAAAAAAATGTATAAAAAACAAATAAACGTATGTATGTATATTTATATATATGAATCTAAGCGGGTGTTTTTAAATTGTTTTTACCTTGAACCAGTTCGCGCTCTATTTAATCTTTGATTATTCGAATATTGTCGTTGGTTAGAATGATGAGAATGATTATTATGATGATAATATTCAGAAATATAAGCGTCTGCGTCATCATAGTATTTAACTACTGATGAGTATCGATCATGAGGTTGAGAAATATATGATGTTGGTGATAACAACGGTGATGATGAATATTCATTATAGGAATAATAATATGGTTGTGGAGGATATTGATGAACTACTGAATAGGGATATATAGGTGAAAGTGTTTGAGAAGGGTAATTGTTCATTGTTGGGAGAAAGAGTAAGTTAATCGATAATAGGTGAGAGAGAAAAGGAAATAATAGATATTTACCAACTAAAGCGAAGAGGCAAAATGAGAGTGTACGGATGCTTGAGGTAGTGGAGCATGGACAGGAATGAAAGAAATAAAAAGAGGACGCCCTCACTTTCTCTCTTTTTTTTCTCGTCTTTCTGTCTACCTATCCTAAAGTACATACATACATACGATTGTATTCATGTTGATGACACTCATGAGGGATGCGTAAATGATGAAGATAGTATTGTCGGCTCAATGATATGAAAACAAAGCGTCACACGCCTATATACATACAAAATCGCTTGATCAAACTTATCTCAATGAATCATTGACTCTATGTAACCTAGAAATCATCAAATATGTTAGATAAATATAGATTCATACCATATCATTTTAAACAGATTTCTTCCTATAATTTTCGTATAGAAGTAACAAGAAAAAAAGATTAATCGTCAACAGACATATATTATTTTTACTGACATATGTGTCTCTATATTACTCAATGTTGTTTTTTTCTTTTTCATTTCTTACAGTTGTTTTTTATTATTAGTGTAAACGCGCATGACACAAATGCGAACGAAAGAAATTATGTTGTTATGAAGGATGAAATGAAAAAGAAAGAAAATAATATCATATATTTACTCTGAAGGTATTTCATGTGGTATATAACTTAATAAATTAAGAGTAGTAGGTTTTTCTTCGATAAGACTTTCATTTGATCCTCGTCGTCGTTTTTCACTATCACTTGATGATGAGGATTCACGTTTTCGTACACGAACATGTGATGTTGTTTCATGATTACGTCTTAATGCAACAATAGCAACCAATGCTGGTTGTGGAGACGTTGTTTTTGTTGTTTTTGTTGATGATGGTGTTGGTAATGTTAATAGCGTATCTTGATTTTGATTTTGATGATGAAGATGATGATGATCCGTATTAAAAAATAATATATTACTTGTTGATTTTGTTGTTATTGGTTGATAATCAAGGGAATAATATGGGAAACATATCGACTGAGAATTTGTTACTGATGATAAACATATTTGATATCGATTATCACCATTAGCTGATGGATCAAATAAACCCCCTAATGTTATTGGAATATCATCTAACGAATGGCCATATTGAGATAGAAGAACGTCACGCATTTGGTCTGGCGTATACATCGTTACCTAAAATAAAATTATTGAATAGAGATATGAAAATATAACATCAAACATTTATGTGTAAAATGTGAATTACAACATATGAACATGCGCGTGCGATGATGTGATACAAACATATTCTACACAAGTTTTTTTTGGTCCGAATAATATTCACTCAATTTTTTCTCACCCTATCACGCAGTTTTCGACTTAGAAAAATTGAGAGTACCTTATAGGCTATTTTGAACCATTTTGGTGCTGAAATGATAAAGATATTTTTTACCATAGCTGGATAACTTCCCTATATAAAATTAAAAAAAAATAGAAATTATCTATTATATAAAAATAAAACAATGAATATACTTGTAGAAGTTTAAGAATTTTTTTACTGACATTAATATCAAATTGTGATGCTGAACAATTTTGCATATCATAGATAAAATTTAAACCACTTTCTTGAACTTCCATACTATACATAAACAAGAATAATCATCTCTATATTTTTTTTAATGAAGACTTACGTTTCAGTAGCAACATCAAGTTGACAAATTAAAGCTTGTAATGCAACTAATTCTCGTTCTTGTTGTGAAAGTGAATTTGCTGATGATATTGATGTGAATTGTGATGCTGTAAAATAAACTGTTAATGGTTGATTTGGTAATTTTGGCTAGAAGATCATATAAGAAATAGAAAATAATATTAATAAAAACAAAATATATTCAAATTCATACTAATGTATAAAATTTATTTGATTGTATTTCACGTATAAGATGAGGATTACTAATCCAAATTCGATCTAGATTTTCAATTTTACGATTATTCTAAATAAAAAAAATAATTTGAAATTCAAATAAATTCGTCTACTAACTTCATGTGCTCCATACAAAGAAATTGCTCGTGCAACATCAAATTTAACTGGAATTAAAAATTTCATAGCTATTTTCCATTTTAAACGTGCTTCATCAGTTGCTGAAGTTGCTGACCATCCCATACGCTTAAGAAATTCTTCAACTTGCTACAATAAAAAAAAAGAAAATATTTTATATAAAAAAAAAGATTTTGTTTACTCGTTGTTTGATATCGTTCATATCATATCTGATTATAATACAAGGACTACAGGGCATTATATTATATTATAATCTAATAAATCCTTTTTTTCCGCCTTTTTTTATAGTTAAAATGGTAAAAAATCTTCGAAAAAGATATTTTTCCTTAACCAAACACAATTAGTGCTTGACGTCTTTCGGCGAAAGACTCAAGGTTGTTTCTTTCTCTCACTCTTATTTGCTCGATTACATTATAAAACATAACAATTCACATCATTCTTTATCTAAGAAATATCTATTAATTTTGTTAGTGTGAAGAAAATAAAATATTTAATAAAATTAACTGTTTACACTATGTTTTGCTAATTAAATAAAAAAATAACGACTTTATTTTGCATAATATTTACGGCAAAATAACTTAATTACCCTGAAATTATTTGATAAGCTAAATATTTCGTTTTCAAGAAAATTTTCATAATAATTCCAAAATATTTTCTTATCAATAGATTTTAATGATACTTGTTAAATCCTTTGACAAAAAAAAACACTTTCGAGATGTTGACGTAGTTTTCCCTCTTATTGCATTGTTAGCAAATAATTGCAAGAAATAATTAATAGTTATTTCTATTTTAGTCGATTCTCTGAAGAAATAGAATTTATCACGTATTCGTCAAGGTTTTATGTTACAGGCGAATAAAAATTTGAGAAAAGTTAATTTACTATCTATTAAAATTTTAATAGTGCGAATCATATTGAGTACATTATATGATTATTTTCCGCGAAATTTACTTCTTGTCTTTTGATTTCTAAGAAAAGAGTTGTAATAAAAACTATTTACAATTGCATGTCAAAATTTATAATATATACTTCTGTCGCATTCAATTTCCGAGATTCTTTGTTTTAAAGTACATTATATAAAGAAAAAGAGAAAGTTATTTTATATCTTCTCAGTTTGAGTTCAATTGTCAAGAGTGAAAATTACTTTTGACGTATGTACACACGCACGCATGCACGCAAGCATGCATACTTAGATTTTCTCTTTTATATACATACACGAGTTGATTGTGTATAAGATGTCTCATCGATTACGGTATCACTCAATGGACGATATCTGAGGAGACTGACTGGTGGTTTTGTATTTATTTGATTACCACCTATAATATTATTTGCTTGTCCTTCAGTTATGGCATTTGTCATTGATGATGTTTTGAATGGTTTCATTGCAAGTGATCGAAATAAAGATAGAAAATCATTGGAAACTGAATGCCGATTTTGACTAGAATTATTTGTTGGAGGTGCGCTTGTTTGAGTAGCATATCGAATACGACGAGATCGAACTCCTGATGTTGATGCCGTATCATATAATGCTGCTGTTGATGATGTTGTTGGACGACGTTTTCCTTCTTTTAAAAATCGATTACGACGTGGTTCATACAATGAATGTTGACTTGTAAAACGATGTTCGTCTAGTACATCAGTAGCCATAATAGTTCTTTTTTCTTTACTTTATGATCGTCGTTGATTATGATTTGCACCTTTTTTTTCAGTCTTTTTCAAATATTAGACAATTAGAAGAGAAAAAAACCGATTGGGACAGGGTAGAAAAAAGCAAAGCAAGCGTAACGTATTGAAAAGGAGTGCTTGTGTAGAAAGGTGCACGTTTTTGTACGACGTTTTGTGCTTTCGTTTGTAGAAAGAAGTTCAAGTATATATAGGAAATGGACCGATTCGTATTACGACGACGAAAAACAACGTCGTTTATTTAGACTTCGATTTGCGTTCTTCTTCTGTTCTTTCCTCTTTTTCTTTCTTGGGTTACTCAGGTAAAAAAAGAGAAAAAAATTTGAATCGATAAATATTCTTCTCTTGTTCTCTTCATCTTCGTTCTTTTTCTGTTGTATATCATTGCAGGTTTTTCTTGTCTCAACGTCCTTTTCTTTTTCCTTTATTATATTGTGTCCGATTGCATGTTCGTATGCACACTATCAGATGTCTCTATGCGGTCGTTTGTTTTCTAGGTCGTTATCAAAAGAAAAATGATGAGAACAAGACAATCTATTACTTTCGTATCTATTTAATGTTCATTAGATGAAATGAGTTTTATTAAACAATCGAATGAACAAAAATTGATTTACTAACTAAAGACATGAAACAAAAATTGATTTCGAAAATACTTTTTCTTTTCTTTTCTTTTCTTATTTGTCAAATATATATAAATGATTTATTATCAATATCGACAACAATAAAATAAATAGATATTTTCTGTCAATTTCGATTTTGTGATTATATATGTATTGTCATGATTTATGCTTACGTCAATGATAATACGTAAAGGCGTCAATATACATTCCGATCATTTTTTGATTTCTTCGCCGATATGAAAATCAATAATATTTTTACTAGGATAGTAAAGATCACATAATAGTTACGAGAGTTATGGATAAACTAAAATATTTGCTAATCAATTAACATAACACTCTATGTGTTCATATTCATCTGTCATTTTATTTCCGGAAAAAAAAGTAATGTTACTATTTAGTATGCATAAAGTAAGTGCATGTTTTATTTAACTGAATGAACAATGTCCTCTTAACGGTCAAGTCAAAGAATTTTTTTTCTTTACTCTTAAAGCCAAAATGTTTAGTCTATATAATCATTTATACAAACAATGACTCAATAAACTTACGATTGTTTGCTCTACTCGATTGTCCATTGTAGATGAAATATTTCAATCTAGAATAAAAATGAAAAAGATCAATAGAAACTTGAAAAATTCTGCCCGCCATTTAACATCTCTTGTCATAAAAATTTCTATTTATTTAATATCAACACGTTTTCTCTATTTATTATTTTATTCATTTATGACTAATAGTAGTCATCATCATGATCATCAACGGTTGTATAATACATCCGTGACAAGTACTGATCCACATCAACATGGATCATTAAAAGTTTTAAAAAATGAATTATCAGATTTAATTAAAGATCCGCCGGAAGGATTTATCGTTGAACCGGATCAAAATGATTTTTTTACTTGGAATGTAGGTATTTTCGGTGCACCAAATACACTCTTTGCTGGTGGTTATTATAAAGCTCTACTAAAATTTCCAGTCGATTATCCTTATCGACCACCAAAATTAAAATTTCTTTCTGACATGTGGCATCCAAATGTTTATACTGATGGACAAATATGTATATCAATTCTTCATGAACCAGGCGAAGATGAACGTAGTGGAGAACAAGCATGTGAACGATGGAGTGTTGTACAAAATGTTCGATCTATTCTATTAAGTATTATTTCAATGCTTAATGAACCTAATATATCTTCACCAGCGAATATTGATGCTAGTATTGATTATCGAAAATATAAAGATGATCCAATTAATAATCGAACATATAAAGAAAAACTCGAGTAAAAAGAAAAAAATTTTTTTTACAGAACAAAAAAACTCAATAATAAATTTTAGTCGTTTAATTGAAAAGAGTAAAGCAATTGCTAAATTAGAAGGTATTGAAATTCCTCAAACAGTAGAAGAATATACAAAACGATTTGATAAAAAATTATCATTAAAAACAAATGATGATGTACAAGATTATTTAAATGATGATGATGATGATGATGACGATGATGATGAACAATCTGAAGATAATTATTCTCAATCTTCTCGTATAAAATTAATAACAAATTCTGATATTAAACTTGCTATAAAATCAACAATTAAATCTAACAATAATAATAATAGTAGTGGTGATTATAATGATCATTTATATACAAAATGGTAATTTATGTTGACAAGAAAGAAAAAGATGTTATTATTATTATTATTATTTTTATCGAATTGAACATATCTATTTTATGTATAGACACAAAATAAAAAGAAACAGATTAGTTAGTAGAGATAAATAAAATGACAAAACAAGGGAATGAATGAATGAATAAGTAAAGGATTTTCTATTAATTCATATTGTCAAGAATAAGTATGAGAGAGAGAGAGAAAAAAAATATGAAGTCAAAAACAAAATCTAATAACACTGTTCTAATAAACGAGTTACGTCAGAAGAAGAAAAAACAAACTGAAACTTAAAGTTATTCAATCAAAATAGCAGTGCTCGTTTTCACAACAAAATTCGAGCAAATTTTGGCGAGATATACATTATGATTCTATAGTGTAAGCTCATATTCATTTTTTGTTTTGTTCAAAGCCGGCTATCTACAATTACGTGTGCGTGTGAGAATTTTGAAAATAAAAATAAAACTCTAAACTAATTTCATTTAACATATCGAACGGGTGTTTTTAGAAGAAGTTCACTATCAGCAGATACAATAGGAATATTGCCTGATTTATGATATGTGATGAGATGTTGAATTGAATCAAATTCATAATCTTTTGTACGAATCTAAACAAAAAATCGAATGAAAAATTTTTGTTTTTTTGATTTTAGAATTCGACTTACTACTCCTTCAGGATCAACAAGAAGTAAATGTTTAAATTGATCACGAGAACGACCTGATAGAATAAATTGACCTGGAATTTTCGCACTTTCACGTACAAGAAAATCACCACTACGATTTAATAAATGTTCAGCCTAAACAAAAAAAGAAATAATTGAAAAATTTCGATTCAATATTTATTGAAATCATATTACATCTTCTCGACTAATCTTTCCATGAAACCAATCTTCTTTGTAAACATCGGAACTATTCATTGTATTCCATTTATCTATAATATAAAAGTCTATTAAACAAACAATTGTTATTCATAAAAAATAATAATATTTGTCTTCTCGAAAGAAGCTTTACAAGCATTGAACAGTCTGCATAAAAAAGCAATAGACATTTATCTGATAAATTATTCGTCTACATATAAGTTTATGTCAACAACTACAAAATACAAACGAGAAATAATAATAAAGTCTGTAAATTAGAGATAGAGTAGTTCGTTCTCCTAATATGTCAGTGATATATATATCAAATATGTAACTATGTTAATACATGCTTATCTAATAATGACCATGAACTATAAAGTATAACATATGGAAAAAGGACATGTCTGCATTAGTATTTATCAATACCGATTAATATCTAGATAGAAAATTTAAGGATACCTTGTGATTGTTGTTGTAATGGGTTGTTATTGTTGCTTGAAATAAAATGATCTTGATTGTCCTCTGATTTCTATAATCGAGAAAAAGAAATTATATTATTTTTCAAAGAAATAATCCTATTAAATCTTACTTGTTGAATTTGTCTATCACGATCAGATGATTTTAATGTTCTAAATATGAATAATTAATAAATAGAATAATCATTTTAAATTATAGTCATCAATACCCTTGTTGTTCATGCGTTTGTTGCTGTTGTTGTGTTTGCATATATTCATTATATCTTAATTCAAAAGCTTGTCCAATAGTTGTAATAACATCTAATGATTCATTTTCTACACATGAAAGTACGTGACATGCACGTTTATTCATATTATCTTTTGCGACATAAGCTATATAATCTTTTGTATCCTTAAAATAGAAAAAACAATTAAATCAATTAAATAAAATCAATAAGATTCTTACATGTTCACCAGCACTTGCAAATGAAATTCCTTCCATACGATGTGAATAAAGAATTTGAGAATCATTTACACGTTTAAGAACAAGAGCTTCTGTACTAATGATTAATTGAACAGGTGTAAGACTATGTGTTAAATTTGCTTGTGTTGCTATCATTGATTGAACAGGTGATGATGATTCAGGCTAAGTTTAAATGGATATTTATTAGTTCAAAAAAAAAACTATATATTTACTTTACGTCGCTCTCGTAATGCAACGCCTACAGCTGCACATACTAAACGAATAGAATCACGAGCAACTCGTGTTCTATCATCAAAATCAAGTGTCTTCATTGAACAAAGTACCTCAACAGAGCCAATATACTTAAAATATAAAAAGATAAAAAAAAAAACGTGAATTTCAATGAGTAATAAAAAATCACTAATGGTATTACATTGACATTGTAATTGACACCATGACCTGATATAAGATCTGTGTCTGAATGTATCCAACGTGATTCGTCATCGGTATTTGTCATTTCAGATGGATTTAAAACCATTAAAAATTATAAAAAATATACAATAACAAATGACGAAGAAATTGAAGTCAACAAGTGAAGTTAATCTATAGAGCGAGAGTGATTGACAGAATAATCTACATCGTCTACTTCTTCGTTCGTTCGTATGTTAAGAAGAGAGAGAAACAGAAAGAATGGATGGTTAATATAATTTCGAGTCATAAAAAATCATTCCATAGATGTCAGACAATGATAGATAACTTATATTTAGTGGTTCTTTTTTAATCCTATAAAAAATCAATAAAATAAACAAAGAGAAAAAAGGTATTTATTTTACGATCTTTATTTTCAAAGAATGTCTGCTGATGAACATGTTAGTTTTGTTCCTAATGGAAAAGGAGGAAGGTAAAACTTTGTTCAATTAATTCTTTTGAGAGTATTCATTGAGATTACAAACAAAACCATACATACTAACCAACTACTACTTCTTTTTTTAATCATGATTACATATATTTTCTTGATTGATTTACGAGACATTCAGTTACTGTTCGACTTTTTCTTAAATCATAACTAAATATTATTATTCTTATCAATTAGATTCGTTCGATATTCATATGCACGACCATCATCAACATCAAATCGTTTTGTTGAACTCGGACGATTTTTCTATAATTTAACACGTGGTATATTTCAATTAATGCATGTATTACATTATTCATTAACAACATTCAATAATATGATATCATCATTACCTTTTTGTATACGATATATTGTTCAACTTATATTAACAATTTGTTTTCCATTTTATTCATTATATCAAGGATATATATTACTTATCAATCGAATTCATCGTATAGCATATCCATTTTATCGTGTTATAACATTAGTTACACGTTTATTTACATTTTTCGTTACATTACCTATACGTATATTAACATATGTATTTACACAAACACAAGTTTTCTTACAAAATTTACTAAAATTTTCTATTGTTATTGCTATTATTATTGGATTAATAGCTCTATTTTTGGATGAGAATCAATTAAACTATATCAAATCATATGTACAAAACACAACAGATACTATATTTAAACAAAGTTCAATAGTTTAATTTATTAAAATTCTGTTTCTTTTTTTTCTCTGTTTACACAAAACAAAACTAATACATAGATGAGTAGGTGCTCATTAAAACGAACAAAAATAAATAAATAAATAATTGAATATGTATATATATATGTGTGTAAATACCCATCAAATATTTTCCTTCTTGTATCATGTTAGACGAATAAGAGGACATAGAAAATTTTGTTATATCTGACGGGTATAAAAAAATAAACTTATTTCCAAGGCAATTTAAACGGTAGTTTTTCAGTGATAGTATTCAATGCATCAGTTGCCATTTTAATTGGATCAAAACCTAAATAATAATAATAGAAATATAGAAGAATTTTTCTAAAGAAAAAAAAACTTACTATCATCATCATCTGGTAAAGGAATAGGTCCTTTTTTATCTTGAGTTAAACGTCCTTCGCATGGTAATGGAATTGGTGGAGCTGCTTCTTCTTTTTTTTTGATATTATACTATTCAAAAAAAGAAATCGAATTAAAAAAATGATTGTTAGTCAGAGATATTCGATTTTATAAAAAAAAAGAAGAGTAAATATGCAAATAATCTAAGATTCATTTTCAGATATAGAATTTTGATAATCACAATTGATGAAATCACAATAAAAAATAGCGTGTTCTAGTTATATCATGATAATCTTAAACAAAAGACTATCAAATTCCATTGAATTGTATATCTTAACGATCTATTCTCTATGATAATTATTTAATAGACAAATGTAATGATTTCTATGAAGCAAAAAACATATTGACTTTATTTTACTTTTTCTCTAATTCCTTGTCGAACTTCTTCTCGTTGACGTTCCATTTTGGCATATTTTGCTGTACGTTTTTCATCGGCTTCACGTCGAGCTTCAGCGACCTAAATAGTTAATAAAAGCAAATTTATTTTTGTTTTCCTAGTAAATATTTTTAATCATTCTAAGTAGTGTAATTATACTAGATGAATACATAGAAAAAAAACTTATTCTTTACAGGTTACTTAATAATTTACAACTTACTGTGAGTGAATCAATCATACTCTTACGCCGAAGGTTTGTCGGTGTTGTTGAAAGTGATGATGGTGTAGATTTAGTAAATGGTGGTATAAATGAAAAACGTCGATTTGGAGATGGTGAAACAGCTGATAGGAAAAGTGTATTAATACTAAGTTTATCCATTGATTTGTTTGATTTCATTATTGTAAAAAGATATTGAAACTCATAAATTTGTGTATATTGAAGAGATGCGGGACTATATAAAACGGCTTTTTCTTTTTGTTATATTATCAAAAAGAAAGGCTATATATTTGGAACGTTTATTTGGAAAAATGAGATAGAAAAAGAGTGATAGAAAACAGGATAGAATAAAGAGGTAGAGTAAGTAAATAATGGAAAGATAGATAAATAGTAATCTCGAGTAGAAAAGGTACAGCGAATGAATCTATTTTAATTGGAATTCAAAATTTTGTTTTGTTTTCTCATGAAAAGGACTGGATATATATGAAAAATGAATAGCATGACATATAACTAAAAGATTCATTGATGATTCAATCAAGTAAGAGTAGTTCATCAAAAGCTTTCGACAATAATATACTTATGACAAAACATAATTAAAATTGAATAGTATAATAAACTTAGTCTGTTGTTTCAGACATATATTTTTTATATGTGAAATAGTGAGAAAAAAAATGTTAATTACTAAGTAGATACTTTAATAATAATAATAGAAATAGAAATAGAAATATGAAAAAAATATGTAATAATATATTGGTAGTTTCATATTACCTCTGGATCTTCTTCATCATCAGCACCACCACCTTCTTTTTTCTCTCCATCACCGCCAGTCAATTCTATAATAAATATAAGAAAAATATCATTGAACGATTAGAATGAAATATTAATTTTTCATATAGAACTCACTTTTACTTTCGATCTTATTGCTCATTTTTATTATATATGAGTTAATAGTAAACTGAACGAGTTTCTCTCTTTTTTCTCATAGTACCAACAAACTAATCTATCTTTCTCTCTATCAGTCTCTTTCCCCATCCTTCGTTTTTCTGTCTCTGTCTCTGTCTCTCTCTCCCTATCTCGCTCTATTCTCTTATTTCTTTTTTAAAAGCTCAATGAAATTGCTAATTCATTCGGATGTGAACATCATCAAATCAGCTCTTGGCTTACATATAAAATATGTAGTCTTGACTATAATACTATCATGTTGACTATTAAAATTACTATTCGAAATGAGTGTTATTGATGAGATACTAATATACAGGCAAGTAGTCAAGGAAAAAAAATATATGAATTCGAGGCCATTTGTCGCTTTACTTATTTCCTGTCTTGCATTTTATTGTAGATCTGAGTATGTTTAAAAGGCAAATAGTTAGAAAGGATATGTGAAGTGAGGACAGAAGGGAAAAAATAATAAAAAATATATTTGTTTCACTCGAACAGTAAATTAACCTTAGACGTTTTTCTCACTAAAAACATACTTAAAAGTCAATGATCAACATAAATATTAAATATAGCAACAACAACAAAACACAAAACACATACCTTTAACTTTATCTAACTGAGAGCCCATCATTTGTTTCATGATAAATGAAGCCATGATGATTTATTAATTATATATATATATACAATTCAATAAATATAACTAAAATCAATCTAAAACCTAGAATAGAAATAAAATAGTAATGACAAAATGCATTGTTAAACAAAAGAGTCGAGTAAAAAACTGATGTGACAATTTAAAAGAATGGTAACATATATGTTCATTCCCAACACGAATCTCGTTTTGCCTTCATTGCTATTCTTTCTTTTCTTTATTCTGCCTTTCTTTGCTATTACTATTTCTATTCCTGCTACTGACAACTCAACGGTATCTTTTTCCTTTTTTGCTTGCTTACACATTTCACTCTCATTCGGATAGAGAACTATCTTATTCTTTCATAGCACATTCTACAAGCAACAACATTACTGTCAGTATGAGTGCGTGTGCTTGTGCATGGTTCTTCTCTGATAATCGTAATGAAAAAAGGAAGCAACCATAGAAAAAATGGATGAACAAAAAACAAAACTGCCTACATCCAGTTTATTATTATAATATATATATATATATATATATGTGTGTGTGTTTGGTATCATTATATTTATGTCGACCAAACATATATATATATATAAAAAAAACATTATTTTTTTATCTCATATTTTAAGTGTTGGTGGCAGTAGATCGATCAAAACGAGACATAAGTAGAAAAAAACCATACGATCTAATGGAAATATAAGAAGAAAAAATATTCTTTAAGATAATTTTTATAGACATTCTTTTTTTTTTCTTCTTTTGGATTGAGAATATTTTCAGACAAACAAGAAGAGAAAAAAAAGCTTTCAGTCACCCCACATATGAATAGTAAATTATAATAAAACAAATTAATGCTTATTCAATAGGAAAAAATTTAATCAAGGTAAATACATATGTTCTATAGAAAAACAGAACGAAACCAATTTACTAAAGAAAAGAAATTCGAATCTATTCACAATTTTCCATATAGGTCATTGTTTCTTATTTTGTTGTTATTCTTCGTACTATATCTAATTGACAAAGAAATATTGTTCAATATTTCTAATAAAACTAATTATTCTTCTAAAAGCATATCTATACTGATATCATAGTAAATATAAATTCGATACTTATAAAAACAATCAATGAGATTTAGCGTAGAATATTCTTAGTCTTTGCTTTTACTCAATAAATAATGTTCGAAAAAAAACAAGCTCGTCAAAATACCGATGGCATATTTTTTTTAGGGAAGTTCTTGATCGATCTGATCGGAAAAGAGGAAAAAAGTCGTATGAAAGATATTTGATAGCGCTAGATTTGCTTTGCCGCCTCTCGATTCTTGTCCTAGTTCTTTTTTTCTTTCTCGTTCAATCTACGTCGTTTGTTAGAAAGTCGTCAAGAATGATGTTACTACTATTCGATTCAAAAAAAAAATAAGTTTCTCTTTTTTTTGGCTCATGTGCTTAGAGCCGTTTGTCTTGTTGGGCGGCATGACCATCGAATCCACTTACATATATATAGAATCGGAAAGGAATAGTGAACGGCAACATCACCAAGAACAAATGATGACGTCGCATGCAAAGAGAAAATATTGTTGATGTATTTACAATAACTACTCGATGAATTGGAAGAGAAGAAGAAGAAGAAGAAGAAGAAATAAATTTTGCTTTCTGTATTATTCTTTTTTAGTTTTTAGCTTTAGATTTATACCGAGTGGAATAATTAAAGATTAATAAATAATAACCATATAGTTTATTTAAAAATATTATATTATTTATTAGTGAAAACTTTTGGCAGGTGATTGAACTGTTTTATTTAATAATGCCTAATAACAATAGTATTATCATATTGTTCTTTTTTTTTCAAGTACAATTTCTGAGATTCTTCATCATTTATGTTTTACAATCATTTATTACAAAAGAACAACTATTGGGACGTTTAAAGCTCCTGATAATCATTCAACAATATATATAGTTAAGTCTACAAAATATTTAAATTAATTATTAATCAAGAAAAATATAAAAAAAAGATCTAAATACTTCTATTCTTCTTCTTCTTCATCAGAGAACTATTGTGCTATCTTCCGTTTTTTTGACATCTGATCTTTTTCTTTAAAAAGTCAAATGTATGAATATAATTATAAATAGACGAATGGAAATGATTGAATCAAATTACCAGATAAGATCTTTGACAGCCTAAGATATTCTTTTTTTTAATCATTATATCGATCAGTTAGTTTTTGTTGTCTATCTTGTCATCGTATTCTTTGATGTACAAGATAGAAATACAATTGATGTGGAAATAATCAAAAGAATAAATTTTGTTGAAAAAAGAAAAACATAAACGTATAAAGAGAAATTACTATATGTCAAGGAAAATAATCCTAACAATAAATATACTATGATCATCAATAGAACGAAGAGAAAGTATAAAAATATATATATATATATAATGCAAGAATAATAAAAAATTCAATAAGCAATTCTATTAGATTTATTATGTCTGAGAAAGAGAGGAACCTAGACCATTCTGGTAGACAACGACGACAACATGAAATAAATAGTCATATGAATTATATTATACATTTTATAGTTAAAATGGCACCAGCTGGTTGTATATGCTGCCTTATCTTTTCTTTGTGTTACAAAAAAATAAAAAAAAGTATAGGTCAATTATTATTCGAAAAGAAAATCATAAAATAGTCAAACATTTTCTAAGCAATGCAGTCAAATGAAGATGTCGAATCTGGTATGTTAAATTTTATTAAAATGATAATAGCTTTTGATTACGTATGTCAATCAGTTTCTTATACTTATCTATAGATAAGACAGAGAGAGAGAGAGAACATGAATTTTAATAGTATCATTAAATTTCCTGTCATTGTCTACTTGTTACGGTTTCCGTCCTCGTTGATCTAAGAAAATAATTGAAAAAGAAAGGAATGAGAGAGAGAGCAAGATAAAAACAACTGTGATAAATCGGATTATTAGTTAAGCTGAATATCTATGAATTCAATGACGTCACAGTCTACTGATATTGTATTTATTGATTCAACAACGAGTAGAGAGTGTCATTTATTTGAATTTACATCGAAATTAAGAACAATAATGAAAGTTAATCAAGATTTACCACGTAAACAAAATTTGATTTTTTTCAATAAATATAGTTTGTGTATTTAATTTATAGATGATTCAGTAAATTTAACCGTACGTTCAGTAAAATCATGTACATGTTCAAATCATGACAATGGTGATAGTGATCGAACTACAAATGCTCCTCGTAAATACAGTGTACTCGATGAAAAAGCATTACGTGAGGATGATACAAAATTAGTACGCGATCAGCGTGTTCAAACGATGAGTCGAAGTTATGAAATTATCTTGGAAAGTATTGGAGAAGATCCAACAAGACAGGGTAAAAATTATTTTTATCAATTTTTCTGTCAAAAAAAATTTGTTTTATAGGACTTCTTAAAACACCTAAACGTGCTGCTGAGGTATGTATACATTTTCTTTGAATATTTCAATTTACGTATATCGATTTATTTTAGGCATTAGTTTTTTTCACAAAAGGTTATGAACAATCGATTCGAGAAATTGTTAGCGATGCTATCTTTGATGAAGACTGTGAAAATATGGTTGTTGTTAAAGAAATTGATATGTATTCTTTATGTGAACATCATATGTAAGTAACAAAAACAATTTCATTGAATTCATAATTTTCTGTCTTTTTTATAGGGTACCTTTTTTCGGTAAAGTATCTGTTGGTTATTTACCCAATAAACGAGTACTTGGTTTAAGTAAAATAGCAAGGTATTGAAATTTATTTATTTTCAAGCAAAACAAAATTGAAATCTTTATATTATTCTAGAATTGTTGAAGTATTTAGTCGACGTCTACAAGGTAGGTTTTATTAAAAGAATGATAAAATATTTTTATATATTTATATTCTAGTACAAGAACGTTTGACTCGTCAAATAGCAGAAGCTATTGCTGAAGCAATTAAACCAAGAGGTGTAGCTGTTATTGTTGAATGTCTGTAAGTATCGAAATCCAAAGAAAAAAAACAATCTATTGATTTATATTTCTCTAGTCATATGTGTATGATTATGCGTGGTGCTCAAAAAGTAAATTCACGAACAACAACATCAGCAATGCTTGGAGTCTTTCGTGAAGATCCAAAATCTCGTGAAGAATTCTTATCACTTGGTCGAATTAATCCATTTTAAAAAGTCGAAATTAACGAATTTTTGTTTTCTTATCAGTCTACGATTCTTTATTATTCTTAATATTAGTCATGACAGCATGAATAAATCTAATATGTATAGATATTTGATTAACATAATAAAACAAAGTTCAAAACTACATTGAAAATATAAAATCACGATATAAACATTATTAGATATTCTCATATTTTGTGTAAAGCATAGATGTCCATTAGTTAATTAAACTACTGATTGACATAACATGTTTCATTAATATTTGACAGTATGTTTTCAATGACTCAAATAAGTGTTAGTTTGATTTTCTCGGGAAAAAAAATCGGGCATTCTTTATTTTCATAAAGTGAATGCATATTTATTTTTTATGAGTCAATTCAAATTAACTATGATCGTGACAATCTAATCAATGAGATTTATCGCATGATAATAACTTTTTTTAATCGTATAATTTGATGAGGCATAAATAAGAATAAAGTAATAAAATACAAACATCAAAAGACAATAAAAAAGTAATTTATGAGGTATCTGTTAATGAAGAAAATCGATAGTCAAGTGATGTTATCGACATCATACGTAATGGATGATAACCACGTTTAAAACCAACTGATTTCGAACGAAATCGAGAAAATTCCATTGATTTTCTATTTGGTTTTGGTCGTTCAAAACCAGTTGTTGTTGACCATTTAAATGTTGATAAAGATGAATACATAAATGGATTAAAACATGAACTAAATGGTTGTAAAAAAAGAATAGCTAATTTAATATTATTAAAATGAAAACCATAATTATTAACATTATTTGATGAATTCGGATGAATAATTAAAGCAAAAAAAATAAATATTATCAATGGTAATCGACTTATACATATAGCAATAACTAATGTAAGAATTTTTAATGTTGCTCGTGCATCATTTAATGTATGAACATGTGATTTACTAAAATTAAAACATATAAGACCATTACATGTTATAATTATACCAATGAAACAAAGATCAGCTATAATTAATAATGATAAATAGAATCGATCAAATAAATTTTCTATACGAAATGGTACACATAATGAATTAGCATGGAAATTATTAATATTAATTAATGGTAATGATGCAATTATGAGACTTATAAACCAACCCAGTGATATAATTATTAAAGTAAATTTTGATGGCCATTGTGTTTGACGTTTAAATGAAAATAAAATTGTATAAAAACGTTCAAATGTTAATAATGTTAATGCATAAATGGATGATTGTATTCCGAATATATAAATAAATCCTGCAAATGTACATAAATATGATTTTGTCCATAATTGTGTTTTAATATAGAAATTTTCATGAAAATGTATATCAATAATACCAATAAAAATGAGATAAATCGATGAAATAAAATCAGCTAAAGCTAAATTTGAACTGAATAATGTTGATATTGACCATCGATTATAAGATGATGTTATTAAACGAAATATTGTAACAATAAGTGCAGTAAGATTTGATATAACAGAAATAAATACAATCAGAAAAAAGATTAATCGACTAAAATTTGATGAAAATAATGATTCACATGGTGTCATTTGATCTGGTAATGGAAAACAAACTGGATCGGAATGAAACGATATTGAAAATAGATTTTTTTCATTTTCATTTGTTAGTAAATTTCTTTCATTTTTAAAATGACAACAAAAATGTGCGTATGGAAAATAAATTTTCATTAAATGAGGTAAATAATCATACCAATTTTTATTCGTTTGTAAATTATTATTACCACGTAAATCAAGAATTTCTAACGATGTTAAATATTTTTTATTATTCAATTGAAATAATTCTAAATTACAATATGATAAATAAAGTGTTGTTAAAGAAAATGTTTGATTAAAGTCTTCGGATGTGGTAGATTTTATTTGATTATATGATAAATCCAGAATATGTAAATAAGGAAATTGATATAAATTTAATCCATTTTCATAGGAGATTTTAGTTAAATTGTTATTATTTAAATATAAATATTCTATTGAGATGGAAATATTATACGAATTTGTAAATTGTATTAAATATGAATTTGATATACGTAATATACGTAGATTTGAACAGAGGTTTAAATCATGTTTTAATATTTGTTCAATATGTGAATAATCAATTTCAATAAATGATAAATTTTTATTATGTGTACATAACCATGTTGGAAATAGATTTAAATTTGTATGTTCAATTGATAAACTATGAAGTGTTAATGACGAACTAAATGGGAATTGAAATGTTTTATATGGATATTCATCAATAATTAGTTTATGAATATTATCAGTAAGAATACCGGAATAATAAGTATTTGTTAAATGAAATGTTGAACGAGATATTAATACACTATTATTAATTGATGATGGATTATAATGATAAAAATTAGATGATTTACAAAAAATTTCATCATTAAGTATAAGACAAGTTGATATAGTATGAAAATTTAAAAGAAATCCAAATATATAGTATAGGTGAAAGAGTAGTTTTGAAAACGACATTCTGTTAACAGACTGATAAGCTTTTGTTTTTTGAACATTATATAAATATGTGATTTAAAATAGTATCTGTTAGATCTGGTTTTTTTTCTTCTTATTGATGAAACATTATTTTGATTAAAAATGAATATTTACATGAATTACATCTGTGATTTGACATAATAATATAATAATTAAATTTTTTTTTGTTGTATTTCACATATCTTCACTACAGGTACATGATCATGAGAGAAAAAAAAGTGCGCAGAAGAAAAACGAAGAGAAAAAAAAGAAGAGGAGAAAAATATTCGAAAAAGAAAATGTCGTCGAGAATCTTTATTTTTAATTGCTCATTCTCGGTTCTGCTTTAATATCAGCAACCATAAATCGTTGATGATGCATGTGCAATAAAGCTTGATGTGGAAGATGATGATGTTGATGGTGATGATGCTGGTCACGATTTGTTTCTTCTGGATCAGAATCAAGATTTTTCATTCTATGTTCATCATTTAAATTACCATTTATATTAATTGAATGTGTTTTAACCTTTGAAATAAAAAACAAATTTCATATTAAAAAATTTTGTTTTTCTTATTAATCAAATTAAACATACATGTTTATTGAGATGATCACTACGCATAAAACGTTTTCCACAAACTTGACATGCAAATCGTTTTTCACCTAAATATAATAATGAATGATCTATATCATTATGACAAGGGCGTATGCCAAGATTAACTATCAAATAATATAAAATGAGAAAAAAAAAATCTTGTTGACAAGTTTTTTCTTCATATGATTGATTGATTGATGTTTCTTGTTTAACATTCTAACCTATGATCATCTTTTTCTCTCTTTCTCTCTCTCTATGTCAATGTTCATATGTATCACGCATGAATGATTCATTCCACATAAATAATAGACTTGGCCGATAGGTATTCGTTCGAAGTTAATTATCGCGTATATGTCCCTATTTCTCTCACGATTAGCCTTGGCAATAGTGGTCATTTCAAGGTGGGCGGACAAGATAAATCGAATAGTAGTTTATTTTTTTTAATGGACTGAAGATGAGCAAATGATCGGGTGTCAGACATAATGAATATACATTTCATACCTGTATGAGTTCGTAAATGTCGTTGAAGTTCATCACTACGAGTAAATCGTTTTCCACAAAATAACCAATTACAAACAAATGGCCGTTCTCCTTAAAGAAATATTCACAAGTTATTCTCTTATCAATATGCGTGTCAGAAGTCAATTGACATTTTTTTATATTTCTATTGCTTTTTTTTCCAAATATTATGGAATTTGATTCACATAATACACGCGACAAGAACAAGTGGATGACAACGTTTATAATTATGTATATATGAAGTGTGAAAATGGAAACTCTAGTTTATGTGTATCTATCTATCTATCTATATATATATATATGCATATTATTTTATTTACCTGTATGCCAACGTAAATGAGCTTTGAGATGTGATGTTTTATTGTATTCTTTACCACAACCAGGTATATGACAACTATGAATATTTCGTTTTCTTAAATTAGCTCCACCAACAAAACCTAAACGATCAGCTTCACGACAATTAGGACAATCACATTGAGCTCGACTGGCTTTTGGTTGTTTTCCATTTCTTGTTAAATTATTTGAAATTGTATTTTTTGGTGAACTGTTCGAATTATTTGTTGTAGTTGGTGATGATGTTGTTGCTTGAGCTGATGGTGGTGATGGTGTATGTGATGCAAATGATGGTGTTGATTGTGATAGTGTTGTTGGTGGTGGTGGAACAACAGGTGAATAAAGTAAACGAAATTCATGACGATATGAATCGGCATAATGCTGACCGGCAGAAAGAAAATCATTATAATGTGTTGGTTGAACATGATGATGTCCATGAGGTGCATATTGAACATTAGGTGCAGTGGAAAACAGTGGTGGTGGTGGTGGTTGATGAGTTGCTTGTTGTTCATTGTTATTATTAAGAAGGGGCGGTGTCTGCGTAGCAGCAAACCATGAATGATGATGATGAATATCAAGCCAAGCTGCTTGTGCTGATGTTGGATTTGATGGAGGTATTGTTGTATTCTCTTTTAAATGACCATTACCATTCAATAAAGAATGTTCATAATGACTTATACGTGCCAATGATGAAGCTATTTCAGAATTATGATGATGATGAGGATGTTGATGATGATTAATATTATTCATTGGTGTTGATTGATAATGTGGTGGACTTGCTGTTATTGGTTTTTTCCAAGCATAAAAACTTGTTTTAGGTGGTGATGATGGAGGACTATTTGAGCGACTGGATGTTGTTGTTGCTGATAATAATGGTAGAGATGATGGTGTATGATTATTAATCGTTGTATTGGACGATTGAATTTTATTACATTGTGCAGCTAACATAGCCAATGGATTGACAGCAGCCATGTTCATGTCCTATATTGTACCAAAAAAAGAAAAAGAAAGAAATTCATATTGAATGTTACATGATCTCTTGTACATTCATTCATCTTCTTTTGTTCAAAAACAAAGCATAAGCAATAGTAATTGAGTAGTGCGCGCTTGATTGAGACCATAGAATTCAACTCAACGGGGTGTCTACGTTTTAGTTATATTCAGACTCTTTTTTTCTATTCAAGCAGAATAAAAACGAAATAGACGAAAAACGTTGTCGTCTTTTTTTTCTCTAACCTACCGAGTTGTTGTTACTAGTTGCCATCAATGTTGCCATGAAATAAGATATGCGCAGTTTATCATAGGCAAGTTAAAGAGAAAAAAAGTTAATTATAGAATTGTCTCTACAAAAAAAAGAAATTATACGTTTTTTATGTCATGTAATCAACGGTTATACAATGCAAATCTTCAATTTTTTTTCTCTTACTTTTTTTTCCTTGTTTCACAAAATAGAACATTAATGTTTAGCTCCACCCCGAAACAACTGACTTCGTTGCAGGACGTTCTCAATAATTAGAAGGTTGACGACCGGGATGCAAACTGATAATGATGAGATGGGTGACACATGAACATGTAATTTTTTTCTTTCTCAAATCGGAAAAATGTTTGAAAAGAAGGAAGAAACAGAAAGAGAGAGAGAGAATGAAGAAGAAGAAGAATAACTTTTCTTTTTTCCATTGGTTCTATAACTAAATTTTATATGACCTCGAGAAGCAGAGAGAAAAAATATTTGATTGGATGATAAAAGAGACAAACTATGATTGGTTTAGAACAAAGCTTTACCTGTTCGGTATACGACTTAATTATAATCGTGTGAAAAATGTATGATGAGCAAAGGAATATACAAAAATCGAATCGATTTGTCTACCATTCTGTGATAAAATATCATCAAAGACATTCACAGCAATATGGAAGATTGGTTTCTGTTTAACAGAGAGAACTACTACTATTTAATCATTATTTCTTTTTCGAAAGAAGAAAAAAAAACAAGAATAATCGTTGAAATCATTCATTAAAGTAAATACCTAATATGAGAAAAAGGTTAATTTCTCATTAAGAATTCCTGCTGTGCGAAGGTTTTTTTTTCTGATTGTCTTTTTCTCGTTGTTGTTGTTGATGATGACGATTCAATGTCGTCGTTACTTGTCATTAAACCAACATTCATCATACGGTGTGTCATGTGCATGATGCGCTCTTCGATTCATTCACCATACATATGTATACATATATATATGCATATTCAAGCTGATATTGTTGCTAATCGATCCATGTCCTCATCTACCTCATTGAGGACATTGACAAATCTATCATCACTGTTAATGATTCGAAAAATAGATATAATTGGTTTTTATTTTCGTTGGAATATTTCATGTTTAAAAGTTTTATATGTATTTTGATCAAAAGAAAAAATCTTATCGATCTTTATTTCGTGAGATTAAAATACGTATACATATATGAACTCCCCACCTATGGTGATGTGTGAAAGAAGCTTAGCCTCCAACGATGCTTATCAACCGGTGGGCAGCAGCCGTTCAAGCTTGTTTTAATTTACAATAGATGTAGGCGCATACATGCGCTTATTTTCTTTCTTTTTTTTTGAAGATAGTCAACGTATGTCGCGATATCAAACTCATCTTCAAGCCTTCTGGCAAATTCAATTCGTCTTTGCTCATCGAACCAACCTATAGATCAATCATATTATATAGATACATTATTCTTACCGACAAGAATAAAAATGACATAATTATTGATGTTATTATCGATAATTTTTCTTTTTTCGTATTATTAAAATCTGAAATATATTTTTCTTCAATATAAAAAACTAAACATGAGTCAATATTTGTTTGATAATGGACGTTTGTCACGATTTGTCTCTAATGGATACATAAATATGTGCGTGTTCTTTTCTTATGATTGAATGCTATTGATGAAGAAGATTGAGATTAGCCGTCAAGTGGGAGTACCTTCTTATACTTCACTCATCATCACAGACTTAGTCTATATTATATGCCGATAAAAAGAAAAAGAAAAAAAGGTAGATTAATTCGATTAATAGTGGTGACATGGTGTGCATATGCATATACTATAGATTGTTCACGTAACAAATAAATGACTTGTAAGAGCAAGCGGACTAGCTAATTACAGGCATGATTAAGAGCGAATTATCGATGTTGGAATTCTATGTTGTTGTTGTCATCTTCTTTCAACCGGATATTTGACTATTGTAGCTTTTCTCGATGTCATCTGTAAATGGTTTTGATCTTATTTTAGTTTTTTTTCTTTCCCTCTCTCTCTGATTGAATAGATCAAGATCAAGACGGCATTGCATCGTTTGACACTTTTAGTTAGTGTGTGAGTGTGTGTATGCATGTTTGAAAAAGCTACCTATGTATGTTGTTCATTCACACTTGATTAGGAAAAATTGTTCGAAGAATACAAACTCAACATGAGCCTTTCTGTTGTTTCTCTTATCCTTGTGTGAAAAGGTGATAATGAATCGGTGTGTGTGTGTATGTACGTTTATATGTAAAAGAATCATTTTCACGCCTATACATTAGATCAACCCAATCAGTAGATCTATTTTTTCTGCTTCTTTCGAGATGACTACTAGTGTCTAAAATCGAGATGATCGTCGTCTTCCGGCATTCATTCGTCAAGCCAGCTGACATGATGAGCTTCCTTTCGCGTTCATCTCATACAATCATCTATCGACATTCGAGTGGAAACGAGACAGAGACAGAGTAGTTATGATTGTTGTAATGGATAGATATGTGTGAGTAGAGAGAGAGAAAAAAAAACTTAATGACAGTCGGCACGCGCGCGACAACTCTCGGGCAATTAGGTTTCTGTGTGCATACTGGAAATTACTCTCAATTTTTACATTCGAGAAATGGAAGCTTGAATGATTCGTTTTCTTTCTCTTATGCCTTGCGTGCGGAACTCGATGGACAATTGTAACTATCGCTCGTCAACGACCAATCTAGAAAAACGGCAACTTCCGTTTTTAACTGTCGATCATCACTATTACTATTAATCATACATACATATAGACATTTTTCCAATGCAGTATAAAGTAACATAATGTAGACAGTTGATTAACTGTCTGATTCATATGTGAAAGAAAATAGCTTGTATGAAATAATTGTGTCATCTTATACTTTGACTACCTCATAATTTTGATACCACTGTGATTAGATTTTTATCGATTTAAATGATTGTTTCGTCATAGTGATTATTGAAATATTAGAAAAAAATTGCTTCGAGGCAAAATACAAAATTTGTTTATTTTATTATATAATAAATCAAATTAAGATATTTCACATCGATTAATTTTATTGTTAAAACATTATTTTAATAATATATTGATAAAAATCTAATTCCTCATGAATCTTGGTAAAATTTTTATTGAACTGATCAGTCTTACTTTCGTTTTTATTTCTATCCTAATGATATTTTCATCGTCTAGATTTCGATGATAATTAGTAGTAATATGAGGTTGCTTAATTAGAATTTTTTTCTTCTGTATTAGAGTCATTATTTAAAACATAATAAGCTTCGGAAGTTTAATCGCCTGCTTGGAAGTAATTAGAAATATTGTTATTTCTACACAATAAAAACACCTTTAAATAAATTAGATAGTTTATTTTTCTGTCTACGAAAATTATTGGTAAAAAGAAATTCATCTTTCATAAAATATGACATTGATTCTTATTAACTTAATCATAGTGTATAATTGTAGAGTAGGGTAATACAATCAATTAATAGGTCAGAGCTTTAGAAGTAGAACAGTAATATTCATCCGTTTATTTGTTACTTAATTATGTCTCATTTGTTATTATCCATTCTACAAAGTAAAATTAATCCTCTTTCATGTGAAATAATTAATTATTTACAAGTAAAACCTCGTTTCGAACAAATATAATGACATGTATTTAAAGAATGTAGACTCCTAGATATATGTAATAAATGTTTTATTAATATTAGACATAAAAATTTACATAGAAAAAAAGAAAATATTCGAAATACTATTATAGATGAATTGATTAACTAAATGTAACAATAAGATCATATTTTCATTATATGGATAATGATGAATATTTTAAATTGACTAAATTTGTTGATATTATACTATTTATACGATGTAAAAATGGAATTTGAACTGTTAAAATAAAATAATCTGTATTATGAATACCACGTTTAGCTAAAAATATTCAATTAATATCTATTTTTATTATAAAGAACTTTACCTGACATATAATCATATAAAATACAAAAGAAATCTTCTTGAATTTTTTCCATTTCTTTGAATTTACTATTTGCTAAAAAACAAAAAACATTTATTTTTTCTTTGTAAAACTTTTTACTTACGAATAGAAGTAATAAGTAAGATAATAAATAAAGCAATTTCTTTATCATCAAGTTCTAATAACTGAAATTCTTTTTCCATTGAATATGTTAATTGATTTAAATCAAATAAGAATGGAAATGTTTGTTGTAAATATTGACCATATGTAGAATTTATTGAAATATTTAAATAATTCCAATTTAAATTTTGAAAACGAGATGATTGCAAACAAAGACATAGAACTATAACTGAATGAGTTGATAAATCGATTAATAAATTTTTATCATCAGAATTTAAAATACAAAAATCTGTTATATTCAATGTAAAATCTCTAACTCTTGCAGTATATTCATTTAATTGTGTTGCACATGTAACCCATAGATCATTTGTTTCATTTGAACAAAATGGAAGTTCCTTAAATATAAATTAATAAAAATATATTTTATAAAATTTAATATACTTTGAGATAATTAATATAAGCATTTTCAACTTCAGATATTTTTTGTAATAAATGAACTTCCAATTTATCTTCACAATTTAATACCATTGCAGATTGAACATATGATGATAATTCTAGACAGAAAAAACATAATTATTTTTCTGAAAAATTATCAATAGATGAAATGTTTCTCAAGGAAAATGGTACTCTCGTTTCGTTGCTTAGATTTTTGCCGAGATGGGTGTGGGTGTGGGTATGATTGCGATTGTGGGTGTGAATGTGCCTGTGGATGTGAGTATCCATCTCTTATCTATCCACACCCACACCCACACCCAGTTTGAAATTTTTATTGATAATTCATAATAAAACTACTGATCGCTTTTACTGATCATTTTGAATAAAAAACTGACCATTTTATTTTGTACCCGAATAAATACCAACGTAAGGTTTTGATATATGGCGAACGCAGAATTATTTATAAGAAGTAACTTCGATGACTTCTCAATTAATTTAAGATACTAACTGTAAGAAATGATATCTCAGCATTGTGGATTGTAGTGTACGCATAGCATTTATGGGAAAAAGATAAAAACTCATGACATTTAAAAAAAAAAATAATAACGATTGAAAAATTCTATCTGAATCTTACTTACCATCAGTATCATTAATCGTACTATTTGTAATTTTTTTTCTTGAATTATTATTATGTATTCGATTCGATGAATTGTAATGATAATTAGTTGAATTTAGAGCAATAACATGATGTAATTGTGAACGTATTAATCCTCGACGTTGCATTTCAACCATTTTATGTTTGAATAAATTAGATTGTCGTCCGATACGTGAACCTTCAATTGACATTCCTACTGTAAGACATTTTTGAAAGCGACATGCTCGACAAGCACTTCGTGTTAAATAATTAATTTCACAATTATTTTTTTCTGGACATTTATATCGTTGTGGTATACGTTCTTTTATTGTACGACGAAAGAAACCTTTACAACCCTTAATAAATAATTTATTATTGAAATAAAAGAATATACACTCTCAAGTTTACTTCGCAGGTTGTGGCCCCAAAATGTATTCCAGATGATGCTTTTTGACATACGGCACATGGAATTTGTTTAAAAATTTCTTCAATTTTTGGATTTGAATTTCCTTCTATTTTTTTTTGAAATTTTTTAAACATAATTTTCAGAATAGAAAATTTTACCTGATAATTTCATTCCAACTTCAATACATTTTGTATAACGACAATATTGACATTGAGTTCGTGTTGTACGTGTAATAGGGCATTTTTTATCTTTTATACATTTATATTTACGATATTCATCATTGACAGATCGAAGAAAAAATTTCTTACATGCTTCACTAGAATTTTTTCAAGAAATATTTCATTTTAGTAATATTATAGACAATACAAACCATGTAATCGAACCACAATGCCATCCACTAGCATTTTCTCCACATACTTGACAAGGTTCAGTACGAAAATCTTGAAGATAAATTGCAGATGTTTGATCGAGAATAAGTGTATCCATATGGGATCGTATGAATAAATGAGCTAGTAGATCAGATGTTTCATCAAGATGACTCTATTTCTCATCAAATAATATGTATACATATACAATATCCGAACGAAGAGTTTATAGTGGCCTTATTCTCTCTTTTTCTCTGATTTTTCTTCTCTTATTGTTCGTATCAATATAGAACATCGCATGAGTAATGCATTTGCGTTCTGTATATTCATATATATATGTATGAGAAAAAAAAGCCGTCATAAACACAAGAGAAAATAAAACATAGACCAGTATACACGACCTAGACCATGAACATAAGTGTCCATTTCAAAGGGGAGAAAGAGAGGAAATTCAAAATTTACATATATATACAGTCGTCTCGTTCGCTTGATTTAATCACTCCTATTTATCATGATCATCAATAGTATACTTTAAACATAGCAATGTTAGTCAAAAAGAAAAGAAATAACATTCAGCTGGATACAATCTATCATTTTTTATATGAAATAAAAAAAATATATACATCATTTAAAAACAAGACAAAAAAAAGATCTGCAGTCACACTATCAACATGCAATTCCCTTGAGAAATAAATTGACCGATTGTTCGACTTAATTCTATATTCTCTTTGTTCTTCAGATAAAATAAAATAAAAGCATCTTGTATATACAACTAATATATAATTAATTTGGCTTGTTTTCATTCGAAACTAAAGTTCGTAAATGATCTTTTAATTGATTGATGACTTGTGATAAAATTAAATTTTTTAATTTTAATTTTCCATTTAAATCTTCATATTCAACACATTTCGTAATCATAATATCTAATTTTGATCGACGATGAATACGAGATACTCGACATGATGCGTTATTTAATGTTCGTCGTCGGAAATATTCTTCACGATCTTCTTCAGTTTCAATATCACATTTTTTACGAATTTTACGACGTGGAGTATCTGACAAATTATTACAACTTTTTTCTTTTTCTGAATTTGATAAATAGATATGATCATGAATAATATTATTTTTAATAGAACCCATCTAAAAGAATTTTTACGTTTTTTTAATATAAAAAGTCATATGTGTATGTTTTCATAATTCAATCTTGCAATTTGTTTTTTATTCTAGTATGTATTTTGTTTTGTATACAAAAAAATATCAAGCAAAACAACGGACTATGAATAGCACAAAAAAAAAACAAAGAAAAGTTATTAGTTAATTCTAATGTTGATGATAGTGGATAGACAAAAAATAAATCACGATTATCATCAAACTTGCCCTCATGACATTCAATAATATATAAACATAAGAAAACAATACAAAGAGAGCAAACAAAACATATCACAAATGCATAGACACATCAAAATATTTATCATTTTTTTTTTCTTTTTTTTTTCTCGACAAATCGAGTTTGTAAGAAAAAGTAAAAGCAAGAAAAACAGAGATAAAACAAAAAAAAAACTTTTTTTTTTTGTCTACTTTTTTGTTTTTTTGATATTTTGTTCTAATTTTTTTCTCATTAGAAGATCAAGTAGAATACACACAAAACACACATGTGGATCTCATGAAACTGATAGTATAATAGAGGAGAATCATATATATAGGTATATATACATACACTGCACACTACCAGAACGAACTCTTCTGCGCCTCTCGACTTAACATAAAGAAAAAAGCAATCACTCGGAAAAGAATGCTCAGTGAAATATAGAAAAATATAGTTAAATATTTGACAAATACGAAATGAAGAGTCGATAGAGAGGGAAAGAAAGCATACAAACACATGTGTATACATATGTATGATCAACATTTTGGATTAACACCACCTTTGCGTTGAAATGTATGAATAAGACCATCTTTCAAATTAGCTGTTACTATTTCGAGTGTTGAAATTTTTAAACGAAGTTCAGTATTGATACGTTCATATTCGGCACTGAAATAAAAAAGACAACATTTAATTATTATATAAATTTATTTTTAGTATTTTTTTTACCATCGAGAATCCATATCACCGAATTTTTGTTTACGTGCTGCACGAGACATTTTCGATGCTTCATTATTTTTTCGACGTCTTTCCAAATAATATGATAAATCACCTTCTGTTTCAATATCTATAGCACGATTAATATGACGTGCATGTTTTGTTCGTTTCATTGAGACAGAACTATTTGGAGATAATGCCGATGTTGAACATGAATCATCACTAAAGATTTGTTTAATATCAAACAATGCAGCACGGGATTGAAGTCGAGATGATGTACGACGGCCACCACGTGTTGATGTACGTTTGGATACTGTTGGTGATGGTGATGGTGTATCAATAATTGTTGATCGTTTAGAAAGATAACCATAATCATGCTCAATAGCATCCACTATACATGGATCAAAATTGAATTCTTGAGAGATAGCAGTTGATGTTGATGGTGTAGGTACAAAATTATCAAATGAATTTAATTCAGTATAAAATGTTGGATTTTCAGGTTCCATTTTTAATTGATTTTGTTCCATTTGGAACTCTTTTTTTGTTGGTAGTTCCAATGGTGATGGATAAAGTTCAGAGAATGATCCTGATGAACAAGCTAATGCAGGTGAAGAATTACTTTCAAGGTGATTTGATTGAATATCATTTAATGTATTGATTTCATCGAATGAATCATATTGTAACTATATGACAAAAAACAATGATTCATAGAAAATAATTGCGAAATTTCATAGTGAAAAGAAAAAAACAAGGACTGGGTTTTTTTTCTTTTTACTTACAAAGTCGCCAAAAGATTTGGCATCAAGTAGTTTAACTGGATCGAATTTGACTAAGTCATTCATATCGATATTCAAATCATTAACACCAAAATCGCTTAAAAGACGATGAAGAGTAAATTCAGAACCATCTGCAAAAATCTCATTCAATTTGTCGGATGATTCCATATCTATTTAATTTTAAGAAATTATATTTTTTTTGCAAATATTTTTTATAATAAAATTACCTTCGTTAAATAGGCCACTTGTCTTCAGGAGTGAACGTAGTGAAACACTGCGGTTCACGAACAGCGGCGCAAGAAGATGAATCGATTCCCCATGAATCTCGTCGTCCAAAATCACACTCGAGGTCGAATCCGATCGAGTCAAAGTCAGATGAGGTGATATGTCCAAGTTCGAATGAGTTTGTTGCAGTTGTTGTTCCATGTGTTGTTGTTGTTATTGTTGATTCAAATGAATGTTGTAATTCGTCAAGTGGGTCGACAGTGCGGTTGTGCTCCTCTTCACTATAAAACATACCCGTGTTGATGAAACAAGTACTTAGAATGCAAGATATTTTTCTTTTTTTTCTCTTTCTTCTTCTAAGTTAAACGCTTTTTGTCACGTCCTCCTTCGTTACACACCCTTCGTTGACGTAGTTGTACTTGTTTTTTCTTCTGATGATGATAATGTAGTGGTAATGGTGATGTTGGTAATAATATTAGTCTTGTTTTTTGTTGTTGTCGATAGATGCTCACTTATACACACATATATTTATATCACCAACAATCTTTCTTTTGGCTCGTACGAATGTGATTCTGATATCCGATGGCGTTGACTAGGATAAAAACATTATTCTGCCCTTTTCTTTTGTAAATTTCTAGAATAAAATAAAAAAACATAAGGTTATTTTTGTCTTTAAGAATTTTATAATACTATTTGTGTCTTTTCGGCTTTAAACGATAAAAAAGTACCACTAATAAAGAACGCAGAAAAACAAAAAAATATTATTTCGTGCTCTTTTTTACCTCATTTTATATTGAAAAAAAAAGAGTGAAAAGCAAACTATTAATCGAGAAAGAGACGAAAGTGGGATACACTCACATTTGCTGAGGTTTCGCTTCAATGAGTAAAATTATAACCTACGGAATAACGTAAAAAGATAGAAAAATAGAAAAAAAAAAAACTTCAATTTTATTTTTTTTCTTCTCAAGTAGGCGAAGAAGAAAAAGAATTGTTTTACTGATGTAAAATAAGACTCTCGGTAATATAATTGCGTTTTAATGTTATTACTATTATTAAAGAAGTAGAGCATTCTTATTGTTTTGAATTACATTATTAAAACGTCTCTCTCGTATAGAAAAGAAGTACCTAATAATTCTATAGATTATATGAATAATCTATTTTAAAATATTTTTATCATAAAAAATACCTTTATCTACAAGAAGATGTTAGGCGATAAGACTTGATTTTCAAGATTTGAATTGTAGAAATAATAATAAATGAAATATTGACTCTACTATGAAAATCTATAGGCAGATGTCTCGTAGATATATGTTCATGAAATCAAGCGCTTCACAGTCGATATTATTGTAATGGTCGTTGCTTCTCTCAAATATAGGTAACAGGAGGAAGTGAGAGAGAATAAATGCATTCGTATACCGTCTTTATATAGCATTTCTACCGCTCTCTTTTCTCCTTGGGTTTTTTTTCTTCTATTCTTTGACATGACATCATGATGATTCAGAGGAAAAACAAAACTAGTAAGAAATGACGACAAGAGAGAGACGCTCGTGTTGTCAATGTACATAAACTTCATAGAAACAAAACGTAAATGAATCTAATTTCTCTTTCTCTATACCCCATAAAATTATCATCATGATACATAATGTCGAGCCCCGATAAATAATGAAATGACGTTTAAATGAAAAAAGAAAAATCTTTATTTGCTCTATGCTTTTACCATATATAGAAAATAGAGAGAATAAATTAGCCCGAGAGAGAGACACACATATTCTTATCCATCAAGATTTACTTTCACTTCACCTTTTTCGGTAAAGAAGAAAAAAAAATGAATAAGAGCCACTACCGATGAGCATTATGTTGACGTGTCTTTGCCACGTCTTCGTTTGTTTTTTTTCTAAAGTAATTTTGTTTTTCATTCGGTTTCATAAAACATAATATTGACTGATATATCTAGGCAACAATATCAAATATTTTTTCTTTCGCAAACAAAAAAACTAAAACTCTTTAAGTATGTCAAATACAATAATCTAAAAAGAATCCTATTCAATTTAATCATGCCTAAAAGCAAACGTATCTTGTTGCTTCTTATTATAAAAGACTAATAGGTTGTATGTACGCATATGTATTTTTTTACTTATTTCGTTGTCAACATTGATGATTATTACGACCTTGACACACAAATCGAATAACATCAATCTCTTTTCAGGTGGACTAAAAAGAAGAGTTTTCTTTTTATAAACGGCCAACAACAACAACAACAACATCAATAATAATCATAATATTTATTTACTTTCTCTCAGGTTTTTTGCTTTGAAAAAATACAAAGTACATAAAGTAAAATAATACGAAGTTAAAATTACACGGTCTAAAGACAAATAATGATAACGATAGTGGCAAGTTATACTAAAAACTTGATATCTGAAAAATCTTTTTTTTTCCACAAAATCTTGTCAAATAAAGATACGCAAAATTTATATTACGAAATTGTAAATTTCATTCAAAACAAGTTTACAGAAAACAGATTTTCAAAGATAAAAAAGATATGATCTATATTCGTCAAAAACAAAATACTATTTTTAAATAAAATAGAAAGACGACATTAATGTTATTGATTAAAGTATGATTGATATTAAAACGAAAATTACATTAATTATTTATTTGACGCAATACTAAATTGCACAATTCTTACAAAAGATTTCGATTTCATGAGTCAAGACCCCGGCCGACAGGAGATAAGAGGGTGACAGCTCCTCGATCTGTACATAGAAACAATCATAACAGAACGAGAAAGAAAAATTTATTAAAATATATATCTTCATTAGAAATCAAGTATCAATAGATGTCGCAGCGTTGATCGATCACATCTGTACGGAGGTTTAGTCTCAATTTTTGATTGAATGAATCGAAGAGAAGAAAAAAAGAAGAAAATGGTTTTTTCTCTTCTTCTCTCTTCTCTTTTCTTCCGCTCCGATTGGATACGAACGGAGAAAAAAAAGAAAATTCATATGGTATACTCTGCTACGACCATTAATAAGAGAAGAAAAAAAAGGAAGCGACAAAAGAGAAAAAACGCGCAAAAAAAAACTTTTTCCTCTCTCACTTGCCTCATTTCTTTACCGCGAAGAAGAAGGAGAAGAAGAAAGAATAGCAAAAGAGTCGCTTCATCACACATACAAGCTCTCTAGGTTGTCTATTACTATTCAATCAAATACGTAAGGAAGAACACAGAGAGAGAATACATGAAAATTTCTTAAAATACAACTACACCTATAATTTTCATGTCGTCACAATCACCAACATTAAAAAAGAACAAACCAATGGTATTAATATATTTATCCTACTATATTAATAGATTTTCTTTCTATTATTCAGAAACCTCTTAAATTCAATCATCGATTAAATTATCGTATGACTAACTTACCAAAAATTCCAACACCACTTGCAATTCCTGTTAGTCATTATAAGGTAAATCCATATTATGATTTTACTAGTTATGATTAAACTTTGAGAATCTTTTGTTAAGATTATTCCTATGTCATCTATGTGGATGGATACTCAACCAACTATGCCAAATTCTATGGTAACATTAGTCAATACTTCATCACCATCAGGTATTTACTATTAAAATCGAATCAAATATAGTATCTATAATTATTCTATAGTAAGTGTCTCACCTCCGGCCTATCAACAACAACAACAGGTTAAGATTTACTTCTCAATCACTCTGTGTTCCTCATTATCTTATATGAACTTTTTCTTTTTCTCTAGAATGTACATATATATTCACCATATAAATCATTCAGTATGTATAGAAATGAAGGTTTTGTTTCTCGAATTTCATAAAATTTTTAGCTGCTCCTCGTGTAACAACTACACTTATTCCACTCAACATATGTCCTGTTGAATACAGTCAACCATTTAGAACAATACCAACTTCAACACCACTAGTTAATATCTTAGAGAATCATCAAGAACAGAAATCAAACGATAGTATAATAACTCATCTCATTGGTGATTGGATAATACGAGAGAGTTCAAAGCCATTTCGACGAAAAGAAAATGAACAAGCAACACCTCCAATAGAACAATTAGTAAAACAAGAAAAATTCGATCTTAACGACTCTATTGATTTTCACCAATCACCAGCGAAAAATGTTAACCAGTGGACTGTAAGTTATTATTTCTTGAGATTTTTCTTCAATTTAGTAAAGAAAAAGTTATAATACATTGAATTCTTTTCGAAGTATAACGTATAGATATACTTTAGTATATGATCACAAACAGATGCAAGAAAAATTGAACATACACTGGATTGAATTGCGGACATGATAAAAGAATAGTACTGTTGACTCTTAAAAGCCGAATTGCAATAATCGCAATAAAAATCAGTACTTTCATAAACTGAGAGGATCGGATAGATTAAAGAGAGTTTTTTTTCTGAAAATTGTGGTCTTTTCAACGGATATCGCTGTAAGCGAACATATGAATTAGTTGTTCGCTATTCTTTCACATATATGTCTATCTAGTATTTTCCTTTTCTTCATCTTAATTCGTTCTTCTTTTATTCTTCTAACTTATATGGAAATTTCCAAGTGATGAATGAAAGGATATCACTTAGTCTATTGCCAATCTATCAGAAAAAGAAAATTTCTTTTTTTTATCGGTCAGCTTTTAAGAGTTAAACTAAGCACGAGTCTATTGACGATTTTTAACTACAGAAGTGATATCTACTATGACGCTGATTTTCTTTTCTTGTTTATATTCAGGTCGATGATGTATGTTTATTTTTCGAAAGTGTTCTCGACAAAGATTGTTACGCACCATTAATTCAAGAACATTTAATCGATGGATCAGCACTTCTTCTTTTAGAAGATGAACATCTTACTAGTATTTTTCAAATGCAATTGGGACCTCGATTGAAATTACTTGATCGTATCCGTAAACTTAAGACAAGTGATTGATCTCCAGTGTAATATTTAATTCGTTTTGAGTGACAATAAACGAGTACTATTCTTTGTGTATAACAGTGAAAAACAAGTTAATATTTCAATAAAAAGAAATATGTAAAAATACGAATATATTCTTATATTATTTTGCTAAAATATTTGAATCTGTGTACATTTTTTTTCACAATGTGAATTTCGGCAACATGGAAAGCGCTGCTGTTCAATTCGATCTTTATCTACAATGAAGACTATTCAAACTATTCTACAAAAAATTCATCGGATTTGGTACTATTTACAATTTAAACATTTCACAAATCTAGCGAGGTACTGTTTGACAAAGTATGCAAAACTTACCTATTTTATGATTGATTATCATAAATGCTGCAGCTTGCATATCAAAATCCATTTGAGTATTATAGTTTCGAATGTTAAGGGTCTAAAATATAAAATTGATCGAAAAACATCTTCTTTAATATTTACTGAAACAAAAAATTAACGTAAAGATTTTTCAGACACTTTGAAACTTATTGTAATTAATGGACTGTTTGATAAATGAATATTTAATAAAAAAACGAGAAATTTGAGATTTTTAATTATTTTATTTTACCATCATTTATGACAAATCACAACATACACATGACTTTAACTTCCACTAAGACGTTGACCGGTAAGCGAATACAAAATGAAAAAAAAACATATAACAACAGTATTACGGTAGACATTACGCTGCATAATTATTTGACAAATTTTTCTTTGAGACGTACTTATACAAGTATGTGTATGTTATTCAAAAAAAAAGGTATTTATTTATTTTCCTGATTTCATTTAGCTTTTTCATCATCAACTTTTGGTGCATCTTCAAGATCTGGCATTGGTTCATCATCACTATCCATTTCATCATCTTCAAGATCATTTAAATTAGTTGCTGATGGACCACCGACTAAATTGCCACCCATCTGTTTAAACATACCATCTAAAATAAGCTAATTAATAAATCATTTTTTTCAAAAAAGATTATTTTACCTAAATCACCCCAATCTTTACCATCAGCACCATTTAATTCATCATCATCATCATCACCTGATTACATAAAGAAGAATATGAATGTTTTATATTATTGTCTTTTGTTTTACCTTCAGCTGTAAAGTGATTCCAGTCGACGGTAATCCATTGAAACTAAAAAAATGAAAGGTAAATGAATACAATTCGATGATAAAAATCGTTTTCTTGTACTTTTTCAGCGGATTTAGTTAATCGTTTCCAAAACGGTTTTTTTGGATCTTTCTTTTTAAGCATAAATTCCCAATGATTTTGACTTGTTTTACGATATTTTGATCCCTAAAAGAAAATATATAAACTAACTACAAGAGTGATAAAATACTAGCATACCTTAGGATCTATTTCATCGAAAAACTCTAATGTTGCATCATAGTTCAATCCTTTTGTTTGTTGTCCTCTATAATAAAACAAAGAAAATTATTTTAAATTACAAAAAAAGAAATCTTCTCTTACTTAAAATGAAGTTTTGTTGATTCAATATTAATTTCAGGTTTATCAATATCTTGTACAGCAATTGTTAATAAAATATGATCCTTCTTTTGACCCCATTTGACCGATGGATGAGCAGTAGTCCTAGAAAATAGAATTTTACAACAATTTTACTTTATAAAAAACAGAAACATACATTTTTTATGATGAGTTGAATTTGTATAAATGAAGTTCGTCTCTAATAAGATAATCTAGTTACCACTCGTTAGAAATAAATGAATCAGAAAAAATAAACAATATCAAAGCCAATGAATTCTCTTTTATCTAACGCCCTCTATCTCTAAATTGTCTTATGTGTATGTATACTATAGGAAAATCCTTTTTCTTCTCATTTATTCGTACGCATGCCTTTTGACGTAGCGGATATAATAAAATTCTTAATCAAATAATTCTAAATTATTACTAGTTGTATATGAATATAATCAGACAAACAATAACTTGAGGATATACATCGAGTGTTTTATGTTATATCAGAATTCCTATCATCGATCAAAATGAAAGTGTTTCTTTTTAAAACCGATTTCAATACCAATTCGTTAGTAATATGAAAATCATATTTCTGTTATAGATCATCTACTTTACATCATTTATTGCTATATCTAGTTTGATTTATTTACTCTCATTGCTTTTATTGAAACGAAAGTAACGTCCGTAAAACAGATATCAATTTATGATAAATCAAAGACCATTATTGAAATGGTAGTAATAGTAACCGTGTTAATTCATTTTTAAGCTGATAATGAGATGTAAAAATTTAAAAGCCAATGGTATTTTTTCTTAACGCCATCTATTTGCTGTCCTCTCTAGTGTAAATGTTATACTTACTACATTAAATAATAAAAAAAATTGATTGATTACTTTATTATAGATTATTATAAAATGGCTTTTCGCAATCTTACCCGAAGTTTATTTCAATTGACCAAACGTACGAATATAAATCAACGTTTATATTCTTCAATTCAATACTCACCACAATATCGAAAATTTGAAATAACTCAACGATATTTTTCAATTAGAAAATTTTCATCAATACAAACTAATGATAATGCTTATCGTGATCTCGATACATTTCTACAAAAAGAAATTCAATTAGAAAAAACTGCACAAAAACATCCAACTCAATTACCAAATATTCAAGATTTTCAAGTTGATTTTATTTTATATTATTTCATTGATTATTTACTCGATTTGTTTTAGGTAGAAACAAAAGGTCCAGAAGTAACATTAACTCGTCAAGTTGGTGATGATAAAATTACTGTGAAATTTAATGTAACCAATACAGTAAATACTAGTGAATCTGAGCAAGACTTAAATTTGAATGCAACAGAACAAGAACAACAATCTAATAATGCACCGACACAATTAAAATCTCGACCAACATTTACAGTAGATATAAATCGTGGTAATCAAATATTATCGTTTCTTTGTTCGTATTTACCAAATGAAGATCCTGATACACGAAATCAACATGGTGGAATTGAAAACGAACAAAAACCTGATGGTGAACAAGGACATTTCTTAGAAGATTTTCAAATCGATGAATTTGCTATTCACGAAGGAGAATGGAATGATAAAGTTTATTCTTCAGATTGTTCAGTTATTGATGGTGATCTTTATGATAAATTACTTAATTTACTTGAAGAACATGGTATTGGCGAAGGTTTGTTGAATTTTATTTTTTTAGAAAGATAGTCTTAAAAATATTATATCAAGTGTTGTTTATTGTCATATTTATATAAATACCATCTGTATTTGAGGATGAGGAGCTTTAAAAGACAAAAATCTTTGAGATTTTTCTTTTGATGTTTTATAAATTAATTCATATGCATATATATTTAGAATTTGCCAATCAACTTAGTGATTTTTCAACCGCATACGAACATCGTCAATATATTGGTTTACTTGAAAAATTACAAAAATTTGTTAAAAAATAATCGATGAACATTAAGCTCATTTCTTTCAAGTGTTTGTTCTCTAAATACAAAATAAACGAAAACAAACATGATTTATCATCATCGTATAAAACCGATTAGAAAATTATTTGTTTTTTTTTCTAGATCTAACATTATGTCGACGATGATCTATTTTTCGCTTTGTGTTTTATTATTTTCTTCAACCATTTTATCAACACCTACACCAGCTGTTGTTTATTCAGCTGTTATTCATAATCCACAAAGTTCACCACTTCAATGTACGATTAAATGGGCAGGACCAGGACGTACTCCGTTAGAAAAGGATCTAATTACAGTTGAAAGCAATAAATATACAGTTGTACCTGAAAAAACCGTAGATATGGATGGTTGGACAGCACGTAAAATTATTCGAGTAATTCGTTGTGGAGATTTAAAACTAAAAGCACCATTTCCAAAAGTTAATACGATACAAACATATTGGGAATTTCGTGTTGAACCGAATGAAATAGTTTCGGTTGGACCAAGTTCATATGTATCCAACGACGAAAATTAAAACATGGATTTATTGATTTTCTGAACAGTTTGATCTGCTTTTATTCTTTCTTGTAAATAGTATGTCTATTTATTTGAGCTTTTATTTTATTGAATAAAATATCTATTCTTTTAAAAAGTATATTAAATAATCAGAATTAATATGAGTGCGGATAAAAAGTAGATGAATCTAAACCTACACTCACATCCTCAAAGAAAGGGACTATATTTCAACAAAATAATACCACATTCGTTACATATTCTCAAAGTACTTTCATTTTATACTGATTTTAGAGTAGGAAAAACTAATAATTTTTCAATAGGTACTTTTTCTTTTCTTCACCACAGATTCAATCAGTTCCTAAATTGATAAAAAGATACTGTTCCATATGGTGACAGGTATTTCAGGTGTTCAGCACATGGTTTCAAGTCATTTTCTACAGAATTAACAAGAAGTTGAATCCTTTTTGTTTTTAATCTAATTTTCTATTTTCATAATTTAATTTTTTTCAAATCATGGTAACAAACGACTATGGGTGTGTGGGTGTGAGTGCCTTTTCTACATCCCACATCCCCACACACACACACACACACACACCCGTACTCACATCCACCGACATCTACAACCGCCCGTACCCTTCTTTTTCATTTTCGAATGGAAAAAACCAACTTAAAAAATCTGACAGCTTGAAGATAAACGTTTTTCTTTTAAGAAACGTTACTTGGTAACTATCAAAAATAAATATGTAATGACAACATTACCCTGTAATAAGTTACAAATAGATATCGCAACTTTTTCTCTGGAAAAAACCAACTTGCTAGTTACAGTGTTATAAGTATATATGCATCTAAACTTCTCATTGTCTTATTATAAAAATACTTTGTAAAGTTCCACTGAGAAGATCTACATATTTACTGACATTGGGAACCCAATTCGGCATATTAAATACTGTCCATAAATAAATATAGGTAAACAAATTATTCCTCTTTCTTCTCTGCATATGAAAAAGACGATGTTTGTTAGTGTTAATGATAGGATATATTAAAATATTTAATTCTGGTTCCTTAAATAATAAAAGATTAGAACCTTTTCTATCTTGTTCAAAGTTTTTGCTTATCTCATTAATCATTCATATACCTATTCTTTTTTCGGAACGTTATTTTATTAAGTTTAATAGAAAAACCACTACTTTTATAAAAGGTTGAAGAATCAATATTATCGTGGCATCAGAAATTAGCATTACAATGGCTACAATAAATTAAAATTTCGTATTTTTGTCCGAGGCTTTTCGCTGATAAAAATTTATTGTTGCTTTCTCAAATTTAGCTCTTGCTCTTTTTTGTAGCCACCTCTTCTTTGTAAAAAGAGGCAAGAATATGTAATTATAACAAAAGAGAGATTTATGAGTTGAACAATGAGCGAAATAGTTGAAGTACGATAATATGAGAATAATATAGATATGGAAAAGAAGAAGTGTAGAACTGGTGAACTGATATCTCCCAAGTGTAATATTCAATTTGTTTATTTTTAGTAATGGCAGGTACTAAAGATCAAATTGTATGTGATGCACAAGCTATTGTGAACATAGTTGCTGGAACATCATCACTTGAACAAGAATATCAAACAACTGTATTTACAAGCTGTACTTGTTCAGCCTGTTATAGAACATATTGGAGATTGGTGAAAAACAGAGAAGAGTATCTATCATTATATCCTCATTGTCCGAATTGTGGTAATAAGATTGGATTATATGATGTGACTGAAGATCACGACATTATTGGGGCAGAAGTTCAATTTCTACAGAAGGAAAACGCAGCATATGCAAGTTTCAAATTAACATATAAAGCTTTGGAAACACAAAACATTAAACATATGATTCAGAAGTGTAATGCACGCTACATTTGGTAAACAGACATTCAATTGCAGTACTTCTAATAATTGTTTTTCTTTGTATTATTTTTAATAAATAATCTTTCTATCTTTCATGAAGTGATGATGACAAAATACTACTAACAATGACTTATTCAATTCAGAAATGCTTTATATATTTTTATTATCAAGTTCTTTATCTTTTGCACTTGTATTTTGCGACGAAACAACTTTGAAATCTTGCAAGAAGTTGTTCTTATCCTTATTCTTTGTTTTTTGACTTTAACACTCAGACTAATAAACACATGAGTTCTGTCAACATCGAGAATGAGTGAGGTTGTGACTGTGAATGCTAGATGAAAACAGTATGCACAACTACACCCACACCCACACTCACACTCACACCGACATCCATCCACACCCACACCCTCAAAACACGCTTTAGAGCTCAATAAACAATCAAAAGAAGAAATTGATAAGATACTGACACAATTTTGGACAATGTACGAAGAAGAGATAAGAGAAAAACCGAACGACTATGATGCTTGTTTCTATTATACCTATTTAATCTTGAAAAAATTGTAAAGAAAAGTTTATTATATGATAAACGCATATTTCGTACATAATAAAAATATCCGTTGAGATTGGTTCATATTTGTCGTCTTGTTTTATTTCTGTGTCTGATATTGAATATGAACGAATTGTGTATTCATTGTGTCTTGAGGGTGTGGGTGTGGATGAACGCAAGATAAGAGAACAAAGACACCTACCCACACCCTCGTTGTTAATATCACGATGAATTAACGGATGGTTTTAACTTAATGACAACTAACTGAAACTAATCAGGTGAAAATCAATCGAATGTCAAACGAGTCCACATGTCGAGCGTTACTTGTCTTTCATCATTTCAGAAAGAGAAACCTTATCACCTCTTTCTATCAGGACGAAATTCATTACACATTCAAAGATTTTTCTAGAACGATTTTCTGGCACAGATATGTATTTCACACTTTTCAAATAACATTTCAATTAACTTTCTTTGTACTCTTTTATATGTCAGGCTATAGTTTTATTCTAATCTTATTCAATAATATGATGAACACTCCTTAGAAAAAGATCTGTGCATCGTATTTCATAATAAATTAGAATGTTCAGAATCGTGTTGTCATTACTATCATTATTTCTCTTTTTTAACATCCGCAACAGAAACCATTAATAAAAAGATAATTATTTTCTGTATTTTCTTATTGTTCTGTTATCTTTTATGCTGTTTATTAAAAAGAATAAAACTACATATACTCATAGATTATTTATTTCTCTCATGTTTCTTCCATATATATAAGTACTATGAATAATAGAGTAAAATGATTTTTATTAGTTGAAAGTTATTTTCAGTGATTATTTAGAAGAAATCTTAATAAAAATTTGGCAATCATTCAAATAAGTAAGAGCAAAAACATTTATTACGAAGATTAAAAAAGTGTATATTAATTGTTTAAGTGGAGAAGATGGAAGAAAATTATCTCACTATAAGAAAATACCACTTGAGTGAAGATAATTATAAATATATGGATAAATTAACCAAACGATTTATCGGATAAAAAAACTTTCTATTCATGAGGAAGTTTTTCGAAATAATAGATTTGTATGAAAATGTAGTTTTTTTTTAAACATCTTATTTCATGAAGTAATCGTTTTTGTTAAAGTTGAAACATTTTTCATAAGGTAAGACAAATAAGATCGCTTTTCAAATAAACTTTGAGACTGAAACCATATATATCTTCAACTAAATTCACCATTCGGAAATAAAACAATAACAAGAAGAATCAGTTTATATTTTATCTATTCTCAGTAGACTGTGCTTGTTGACATAAGATATCATCTAACGAGATCCTCATCAAACTAAGCTGATTAGTTCAAGAGTATGCATCTATTTTTATATAATCATTACACAATTTGTAGTACTTAGATGACATTGACATGTTTAACTTGCTCATCTAAATGAACCGTAGTTTATATAATTATGTCTTACAAATGTGTTGATAAAATATGGATTCCACATCTGTTTTATTTTAATATTGTAAGAATGACTTATTTAGTTAAATTGTATTCTAAAGCAGTATAGAAATATATGTTAAATTCAAGATTATTTCAGATGACTATAGAACTGAAGAAAGAAAAATAAAATAAAATATATTAACAAATTTTATACTTTCATCGATATTTGATCTAAACTTATCCTTGTTAATATGTTCACATCGATATAAGTCGTGTGAAATAAACAAAATAAAGTAGGAATTACGTCTGAAGTTTTCCCGTAACATTAATAAAAACGAGAGGATGATAATAATTAACATACGATTTACTTAGATAATAAAAAAAGATTTATTAAAATTCACACGTGCAGAAGAAAACTCAATTTCTTTGTGGTAGCGTCAACGAATAACACTAACTGATCTCTAGTTGTTTTTTATTTTCTCTTCTCTTTTTTTCTGAAGAAGTTATGTGTGTGTGTGTGTGTGTGTGAAGTTTACATTATTATTAACAACTTAAAGAAACATTTATCATCTCTACATGAAATAGATCAGAATTTGTTCATAGATCGACAAAAGTGCAAGTATAAGTAGGAAGTATTTTTAGTAAACTCGTAGACATCATGCATTACAGATCAGAAGCCTTTCTACAGATAATTTCCAGTTAACAAATGATCCGCCGGTAGGGAATTAAAGATATTAGGTGTGAAACTATCGTTTTGTTTACTATTAATAAAAAAAAGAAAAAAGTTTCATATGATAAAGTTTGACACATATTGTGCGAAACTAACACTTTATTTATTATTAGCAAGAAAAGAAAAAAGTTTCATATGATAAAACTTGACACATTTTATGTTAATGTAAGTTCATTCTGATTCATCTCTTCATGCAAAACAATTTAATTTGCTTTAAAACTTTCGGAATTGAGATAAATGCATAAGAACATAGCTCATCTTTATGCCTTTCAGAGGTTATATTGTTTTTTCTCTGACACCCATGTTTTGACCATAATTTAAATTACAGGAACATTTGCGAAAAAAGCGTACAAAGGACTTGGAAGTAGAAGGGTTAAAAAAATGCAAGACATTATATAATTGTTCACGTGAATTATCTGAGTACACCACTCTTTTGATGCATTAAAATGTTTTCTTTTGTTCGAAAGAGCATGTAAAGATTTTATACATGACCGACTTTTTTTTTAATTGCGCTGTATTATATATATATATATATGTAAATGTGAGTATTAACGTAATTAAAATCTTCTTTTTGACTAGTTGAATTCGTAATTTCTTTTCATCATCAAAAAGGTATGTATTTAAAAACACATGCTCGGTCATGTGCTACATTGCAACGTGCTCTTTCAAAAAGAAAATTTAAATATATCAATCAGATATGAACAGAAACTTCCGTTGTTAAATGAACTATTTCAATGTCCCTTGTTTAGTAAATATTTCCTTCAAACGTCATCGTATTGAGCTGAAAGTTTCACAGTAATCTCTCTACTATAGCTCAAAGATAAAGGAAAATTTTCAGTCAGTTTCGATGTATCTAGGCCGCAATTAATTTTAAAGGGTAGGGCTAAGAACGCTAGCCTAAAAAGCTTGATCTCTGTTAGGACAGTTTATTTTATTGCTTTAAATATCGCTTGACTTTCATGTGATGCTGACAACTATATCTCAAGGTCAATATTACGAGTGTTGCAGTAGAAATATTCTGATAATATATCTTAAGTTTCTTTGTATAGTTTTTCAAAAACAAATTATAATTAAATCAGTATTTTCTTCTTTCTAGACACATACACAAATTCGTTTGACAATCTAAGTATAGAATAAATCATCCTACGTATTTCGCAACAAAATCTAGTAAGTAACCAGATGAGAAATGAAGAAATATCATATAAACTTGCATTTCTTTTCTTCTTTAGAAGCTTTGTAAAAGAAATGTACAACACAACGATGAATGATACTATCAGCATCGTCATTGATGATCAAGCTTATCTGATTTCACATATGATGTTTCTCAACAAGATCATTTTACAATATGGTCTAGGTTTTATTATGATCAATGGCAACATTGGATCGATTCTGACCATTATTATCTTTTCTCAATCAACTTTTCACAAGAGTCCTTGTGCTATGTATTTCATTGCTTCTAGTTTTGCACAGTTCTTCATTTTCAATTTCGTTCTTTTCACTCGAATGCTGCACTATGGTTATGATGTTCATACTCTCAACACCAACCTTTGGTATTGTAAGATTCGCTTTTACTTATCTTATGTATTGTTGACTATTCCTCGTTACAATATTGTCATGGCATCAATTGATCGTTATTTTGCTAGTTCTCGCGATGCAGTTCATCGACAATGGAGTTCACCAAAGATCGCCAAACGTCTTATTATTGGTAATGCTATTTTCTGGTGTGTCATGTACATTCAAGTTATCATTTTCTATGATATCAGCACAGGTATCTGCTGGTATCAATCAGGTGCTTATGGAATGTTTTTTAGCATTTTTATTGCCATTGAAATTGGAATACTTCCTATACTTTTATTATTTATTTTTGGCCTATTAACTGCTAATAATGTGTATAAAACTAGACAACGAATTGAGCCAATTGGAGCAGCACATGGTGGTCGACATATTCAAGGCAGTAAAACATCCAAAAAAGATACTCAACTCCATAAGATGTTAGCAAATCAAATTCTCGTTTTTATTATTCTCAATATGCCAAATCCATGTTATCTTGTTTATAGGGCATTTACTGTAAATACTTCGAAATCACTACTTCGTAGTACAACTGAGGACTTCGCTGGTAATATGACATATGCTCTTATGGATCTTGAATTTTCATTGACATTTCTTAATTTTATTATATCATCAAAGATGTTTCGAAAAGAATTTTTACAACTAATTCGAGTAAAGATATTTCGTCAACATCCAATACCTGTAGCAACTGTCAGGAGAGATAACAACAAAAATTGTGAAATCAAAGGATGAAGATACTTAA